CTTGCTTCTTTGTGTGGACTGTGATGCTCTGTTGTCTCCAAGACATTGTGACGTTATTGTATTTAGATCTCTGTTAACTGTTTGTGAAGAGCAGCTAAGGGTGAGTGGTTGTTTATCATTGGCCTGTTGGTAGAGGAGGAAGTGGTGGCTCTCACTCAGTAAGTGAAGCTGCAGGAGGTGTGGGTGTAGTTGTGTTGTACATTTTTGAATTCTTGAGACCTAAAAATGTCCAGCACATTGTAGGCACCCACAAAAAATTAAATATTTGACTGAAATGCATTTGAATGAACAAATGCCCATATGGACAAACTGATTAATTTGTGGCTAGTGGCAGTAGTTAGTAACATGACAATTGTGACAGGTTAGGACATTCTGGCCCAGTTTATATGTACTAGTCAATTGGGTAAATATATTTTTTATTACTGAAAATTTCAGAGAGGTTACACTATTAGATCAAGGTGATTGCATCTTGGGGCTGATAAATTGTAGAAGCTATGACTAAAAGAAGATAGAACAAACTTAGACAGCTAACTGTAAACTTCCAGATAGGTATTATGTCCTAAGAATGACTAAAGATTGATTATATTGATAAATTATAAGGGTGGTGCAAACGGCTAAGTTCTCCACTACCAGTCAAAAGGTTGGCAGTTCAAACTCAGGCCTGGGAGTGGGGAGGTAGGGGCATGGCTGATGGAGGAATGTTTCTCAGGCCTAAGAAACTTGGCTGAAGCTTTCTCCAGCTGTAACAGCTGCAAAGCTGGTACTGGTGTCCTCAGGGGCCCCTTCTGGGCCTAGGCAGCTCAAATGTAGCTTTTTAAAAATAACAAATAGTCAGGAGGTTTGCTGACCCATAAAAACTTAAGGATAGCTTGAATCTAGGTCAAAGGGAACATTAGCATAATAAAATCACTCCCGTGGGTGGAGATTTAACATTATAATGAGACAAGCTAAGAGAATCCATCTTTGTATTCTATACTGCCAATGCTTGACCTGTAATTATATGAAATTGTATGTATAACAATGGTTCTGGTGTAATCCTTACCCTATAAAAGAAACTTAGATAACACCTAGAGGCAGATAGAATCTGAGGGAATTCACTTCTCTGTCTCAACTCCCACTTGAACAAAGGCCATGAAGTGTCCTTTGCTCTTTACCTCCATGTGTCTTTATTGGCCTAAGTCACTCCGGGCAATGGGCCCATCGCAGGATTTAACTCTGGTTGGTGTTTTGGAAAGTGAGTGCTATGGAAGGAGAAAGATAGTTGGTATTTTTTTTTACTTTTTTTTTTTAAATTTTATTTTGATTTGGGTGAAGATTTACAGAGTAAATTCACTTTTCATACAGCAGTTCACATATACTTTGTCTCATGT